GCCAGTATCTGCCCACTCCCAATTTTTCTTCCCTCTGATCCCAGTATCTACTCAGTCCCAGTCCCAGCTTTTCTCCCCTGTAATCCCAGTATCTGCCCACTCCCAGTTTTTCTCCCCTCTGATGTTGGTATCTGCTTCGCTCTCAGGAAAGATGAAATATTCAGAGATTACAGTTAGTAAGCCCTAAGCATATGCAAATGCATATTTTTCAAAAGGCTTGTATCCTGGCTAAATACAGATGCTTTGTCATGCAAATGGAAGAAAGACAGATCCCTGGAATCAAATCCCTCATCCTTTTTCAACTACACTTCAAGGAGAGGGGCACATGGTAAAACTTGCAAAAAACTTTTAAAACACTGGGAAACACGTTTTTTTCTCTGCCTAATTTTTAAAACGAGCCACATTTCAACGGAACTTTTACACACAAATTAAATAAACTAACACAAGGCTTAGGTATGCCATTATAAATCTTCCCCCCAAACAGTGAAAGTTCACCAAAGTTATGAAAATCTTCTTGACTACCTTAATATTTAAGCAAAATTAACAGTTTCTGTGTACAGTTTGATCTCCAAGGCAAAGGCTGTTATTGTCAGTGGTCTGAACTGCAGCACATACATTATCTGAAACACCTTCATGTGCTGCCCGAGATACCTGTGCAGCGTAACGGAGCACCTGAAGCACTATGGTCAAGAATAAGTACTGACAAATAGTTACTATTTCCAGAACTTTCCCTTCTGTGCATTTCATTAAAAAGTATATTCCTCTAAAATGACAAGAAGTGTTCTGTTCACGGACTCCCTGAGCAGTACAACTGCAACTTTTGCAAGTTAGACCTGATGGATGAAATCATCATATAAATGTCAAACCTAAACCTTCTAAAACAGGCTGGATTAAACTACTAGCTTTGTTTTCAAAGGGAAAAAAAAAAAAAGATAATGTGTCTTTTAGCATCTGTATGCTCACCATTTCCTAGAAAAGAACAATAAATTTATCACTTAATTTTTATCTGTACCTTACTTCTTTTTTGTAGCCTACTAACATTAGAGGGAAAAAAGTAACATAACTATGTAAACTCATGCAATGCAGTCTTTCCTAATCTGAAGGGGGAAAAAAACCACCACCACCACCACCAACAAAACAAACAAAAACATTAAACACCCCTCCCTGCAAGCAACATCACTCATATAAAGAGCTGTACATCCAAACAGCCAACTACCCAAAACAGATTTGAGGAGAACCAACATTTTGATCACACCTCCTTTTATAATGAATTAAATCATAGTCACTAGTCATCCTTTTATTTTTTAACTGGGGCTGCTGAGCCTCAGTAGGGTTAAGGGCATCCTGGGAAAACAACTAGTTTAGAAGACCAATGGAAGATCAAGACAACTCAAAACACAGAATCCAGTCAGAACTTAGTTTTGCCTTATATGTTCCTTTGAACTACTTTTCTGCATATATATTTTCAAATTAAAATATTATTTATATATAAACAGAGAGTTGCATTTGCAAATGGAACCTGTAAGGTCTGGTCCTCCTTTCTCCAAGATTAGAAGTTTACAGAGTTTCACCCTTCAATGAAATGTCAGTAGGTCCAAGCTCCTAACCTGAAACAGTCCCATTTTAAGGAATAAGGACAAAAAAATAAAAATAAAAAAGTATATCCACTTGCTGTGAAGACATAACAAAAGATGATGTGTAGAAAACTTCTAGGGCTTTTTTCCTTTGACAATGTAGATGGGTCTTATATGGCGCCCTCACAATGGTGAAGAACTACTGTTTAAAACAAGTATTCCATCCTTTATGCAACAGGGAGGCCTGAGCCCAAAATTAAGGCACTGAATGAGAGGAAGGGGCAGAAAGACTCTTGTGATTTTTGTCTCTTCATCTTTTCATGCCTCACAGGTACTGTGTGCCCTCATTTCTTGTGCTACCCAACTGTGCTGTGGCTGTACCTCCCCGGCAAAGAATTAGGGTTTTTTTTCCCTATATTCATCTATTCTTCACACATGTTGTTAAGCTACATAATACAGACAATTTGCCCCAGAGACCAAGCAGAAGCGACAAAGAGAAAGACCATAAAACAATGCCATGTTGGAACTGAAAGTTTGCCAAGGGCTACTATAAATGACTGGCAAAACTTGGTTCATTTTATTAGCAATTACATAACCTCAAAGCACATAAATACTAAAGGCAGAATACAGCGAGATGTACAAACTACAAAACATATTTGGCACTGGATTGTTCTGTAAAATACATCACAACAAATATTGCAAACAACATCTGAACACACATCTTTTCCACACTTGATAAATACTCTTTTCACACCCTAGTCCTCTCACTGGCACACATCCTCATGGGGAATAAATATGTTCCACACAATCAGGCTATGCAAAATCTGAGGTAGTGTAATATTTAAAAAAATTATTTTCTTAGTTATTTCAAGTGTATTTTGGAGATACTTTACTGGCCATAAATTTTAGATACTTACAAGCTTGAGGAGACACAGTAGCCTTAAGTTGCATATTCTGTTCAAGTTGCATATTCTGTTCTAAAAAACTTGGAAATTAAACATAATTATAATCCCTCTCTTCTTGATTAAATAAGTACTTAATGAATCAGTCAAACATACATATTTTTCTCTGTGGTTTACAAATTAAAACAATCTCATGCAGAAGTTGGTGCTGTATTTTTGTAGAGATATTTAATTGGAAGGCAACCATTTTTTTTGAGCACAGCAAAAACTCACGCGTTACCTTGGGACAAGCATTGCATGGCTGTAAAACAGTGTAGTAAGAGGAAAAAAAATGCAATCACAGCTTTTTTGATGTCAGAAAGAAAGCACACAAAAATAGCCAGGATGTGATCTGACCTACTAAAAAGAAACTTTAACAGATGTAATACAATAAAAATCTGAAATGTTGACTATATAATGATATTCCCATCATAAACCAAGTCTCAAAGCTTTTTTTATATTTCCTTTTGTTTGTTTCACTAAAGGAAAAGGGGTGAAGAGGATGTTTCTGAATTCCCAGCTGTGTTCATTTTTAAGTAGATGCTACCATGAAGCTTCTTATCTGTCAAGTCCATGGTGTAAAAACAAACCATTCCAGTGTTTTGCATAAAATAATCTACATGTGAAGAATCCACATTTCCAGCTGTTAGTTACGAATGGGAGACAACGTTTATTGAAATCGAATAGCACCATCTAGCAGGTCCCCCACAACTTTACTTAGGAGGGCAGTTGCTACTTGGCAATAAGTCAGTTCAGCAAGCTCGCCCTGAAGATTATTAAGTATTTTCACAATACATGCAATATTATGTGCTCTAGGACACCAAAAACCTTTAAGAAAAATCAGCTGCAGTGAAAGAATTAGACTGAAAACAGTTTGACCTTTCAGCCCCATGACCGGAGCACTTGTGTATGTGGTTGGTATTAGGAAGTTTTTGCAGAGCAGAATTAAAAGAACATGATCTTCATCTGATCCAACACACAGCAGCCCTATGGATTTGTTTTTAGTCCCACTGTGAGGTCCCACTGTGCCCTTCAGTGATTTACCAAGTGTATTAAAAAACATGAGCAAACATGCAGCAAAAGGAAATGGTTTAATTCGCTAATTTTGTAAAACCAAACAAACAACTCTTCCACTAGCCATTTAAGTAATTATTTTTAAAATTATCCCTACACTGGGAGTAAGAAGTGCCACTAGTTGATCAGATTTTAGTGCCTAAGTTGTGTCTCCCTCTCTATCTCAGCAACCAACGCTTCACCAGTGCGGCCTCTGCCTCTCTCCACTTTCCAATGCCAAAGTTAAGTGCGAAATTGACACTTCAAATTTCCCCTACCATCTCCCTCTCCTGCAGCAACAGAGATGCCTGGCCTGTTCCTGTTCCAGGAAGCGTGCATGCCAGCCTCTGGAACTAGGAAGTCCCTTAACAAAAAAAAACAACCCACCAACCAAAAGAACCAACCCAGCATTAAAAAACAAAACAAAACAAAACAAAAAACTAACAAAAAAACCCTCAAATAACAAAAACAACAAACTAACTAACAACAACAAAAAAAACCACTTTTAGGTAAAGGTTCAGGGCAAATTGCCTGAAGGGAAACTCATCGGCCGTGCCCGGAGCGCAGATCCCAGTGCTGAGCCACCTCCGGAGCGATGCGTTTTTCGGACCAGAAAGGTGCAAACCCGGGCTCTCGACGGAGGTTTGCACCTCTGGAACCCCCCCCCAGCAGCCTGTCCCCGACCTTCTCACCTCCGACACACTTCGTCCCCCTCCTTCTCCTCCTCCTCCTCCTGGCAGGGGCTCTTCCTCCCCCTCCACCGCGGTGGCAAACCAGCCCCGGTCACGCCAAGTCGCTGCCACTACAGGACAACTCGAGGAGCCGCCGTTCATTCCGAAAAACGCGGTCTTCCCCCCAGTTCCCTCGCGGGGCGGGGGCATCCCCAGCACTCCCCGTCGGGATCCCCGCGGGCGGCGGGAACGGAGCTCCCAGAGCGCGGTTCGGATGCGGGGTTTTAAGTGCGATTACAAATAAAGAATAATAATAACAATAATAATACTAACAGTAGTTTTGTCAGGTGGCGGGGTCGGTCGGACCCAGGCCAGGGGTCGCGCCAAGGCACCCCCGATGCCCGCACCCCCTTTGTATGCGCGGAGTTCCCCGGGCGTCGACAATGCAGGGACGGCCAAAAGTTGCGAGGCGGCGAGCTGGGACACGGCGGGACCCGCAGCCCCCCATGCGGGGCTCTTTGTTAGCGGGGCTGTCCCGCACCTTGCGGGGCCAGCAATGGGGCGGCGGGGACCCCTGCGGAACCACCTTGGACGGGGCGCTCCGCGACCCCGCAGCGCTGGGACCCTCGAGCACGGGCGATGCCACCGCACTCCGTGGGGTCCGGCCGGGGGGGGTTGAGGGGAGGAGGGGCTGCGCCGCAAAGTTTAGTTGCGGGGTGCGCGGGGGTTTGCGCAGGGGTTCGTGCGGGGCGTGTACTCACTTCTCCCTGGCCTGGCTGTCGGACGGGACGCTGCTGTTGCTCTTGCCTTTGCCGTACATGCCTGCGGAGAAGCTCCCGACTGTCACGCACCTGTCAACCCATCACCGCCTCCCCGGGACCGGCCCCGTCGCCACGGCGACCGCGCCACTCGCGCGCGCCATTGGCCGGGCCCGCCCCCGGCGCCGTGATGGACGGGGCGCACGGAGGGGCCGAGCGGGCCCCCCGCCCCGCCCCCGGCCCCCCCGCCCCTGCTCCGCGCCGCTCTCGCCGCCTCTCCCCGGCGCAAGGGGGAATTAGAAACGGTTCTAGAAGGATTTTTAAACAACCGGCTGTTCCCGGCGCCGGCCGCCCGCCCGCCGCCGCTGCCGCCGCTGCCGCCGCCGCTGCCGCCGCCGATGGGGGAGCGCCAAGGAGAGACGCAAACTGCGGACCGGACTCACTGCCAGCCCTGTGCCCGCGGCCTCCTAGCCGCGCACCGAGACCCCCCGACCGTCCCCTGCGCCCCAACGAGGGCGGGGGGCACCCCCTGCCCCCTCCTGCCCTCCCCCTCATCCGCCCTCAGCCCCCACGGGGACCCCCCCACCCCGGCCAGACACAGCCCCGAGGGTCCTCTCTCCCCGACGGCCCCCCGCCACAGCGGGTCCCACCCCACCGAGGGTCCCCCTGTTCCCCCACCGGGGGAGGGACCTTCCTCCTTTGCGATGGGAGGGCGAGTGCCGGGACTGGCCTTAGGCGGCTGGAGCTGGGGAGGAAAGGTTTCCTGAACCAAAGCAGCGTGGCTTTTTAGAGAGGCTTAGGGGAAAAAAAAAAAAAAAAAAAAAAGGAAAAAACCCACCGTACCACCGTAGCACTGCCCCACAGTCTCTAAAGAAAATTCAAGGAAATGCTTTGATTTTTTTTTTTCCGAGTTACATCGCAATAATTGCGTGTCCACAGGAGGTGGTAGGAAGGGAGCAGCCACTGGGGCCATTTATTGCCTTATTTATTTTTTTTTTGTCTTCCTCCTAAACCGCAGTCCCAAATTTTGCAGATTTTGATACCTGCTTACGTTTAAAGTGCGACTAACCTTGCAAACCCACTCATGTGCGTAATTCTTGGGTGGGGGCTTTTAGTGGTTTAATGTTTTAGTGTTTAATGCCAAGCCCTTTCTCAGGTCGGGTCAGGTTGTAAATGTGCCCATCTCTGCGTCCTGTGGGCAGGCAAAGGTCACAGGCAACCAGCGCCACAAAAAACCCCAATCAAGATTGGAGGAGGGAAGTTGTGCCAGACGTGGACCACCAGCATCTGTTTATCATTGCTGGAGCTGCAAGGGGGAAAAAAAATCCTCTGGATTTTGAGCTGCCAGAGCGAAGGGAATGGTTGGTGAGGTGAAATTGGGGGGGAAGGGGGAGAAATAGAAGTATTGATGAGTGACTGGAATAAATTAGCGATGTCAGCAGAGACAACGTGAAGGAACAAGAGAGGCTGGAGAATCTGAGGTGCTTGTAGCAGTTCCCTACATGGTGTGGGTTGTGTGGGATGTCTGTACTGTTGCAACCCACCACAGTAATTCATCAGATTAGAGCACACCACAGTAAATCCCATTTTGTGCCAAAGCTGGTTGTCTTAGGCTTATACCTAATTTTTTCATATTTTTTTAATTAACAGTGGGAGAGAGTGGTTGGAGTGAGTCTAGAGAGAGAAGTAAATTAGGCTGACATCAGCCACCCTGGTGGGATCAAGGCTCCTGCTCCCAAATTACACCCACAAGTCCAGAGGAAGAACAACAAGGTGGCAACAGCGGGTTGTGGTGTGAGGAGAAAGAGGGAAAACAGAAAAAGAGGGAGGAAGGAGTGAATGGAAGGGTAGGAAAAGCTCACAGAGGAAGTGAAGGATGAGGAAATGAGGAAGCAAATCACAAGCACAACGCACGAAGAATTTAAGTGATAAAAGTGGGAAAAGACAAGGAAGAATATAAGAAGTTAATGCAACGTGAACCGAAAGGAGGAGTTCTGGCCTCATTTAGACAGAATAATGCTTACATGTGTTGTGCCGTGGAGTTTAGGTTGGACATGAGGCTGATGGCATTCAAGGGTGAACATGGGCAGCAGAAAATGGTGCAAAGGAAAGAATCAGGACATAAAACAAAGAAAAGACTTGGGTTGTGGGTAAGACATAAAAAACGAGATTTGGTGAGGGAAGGAAAAGAGTGAGCGTGGATATCCTTGGTCGAACTACAAAGGTAAAAGACACTAGTACAGATCATCGTAATCCAGAGTACAGTTTCCATCTGAATATTTGCTTGTGCTTGAGGAAGAACCATTATCACCCCATCAGATATGATGAGTATCTCCTGTTCAATGCTTTATGCTGACATCCTGAGCCATGGTTTTAGCAGGGCTTTCACACCAGACTGATAACAGTGGCGAAATCCTTCCCGGGTGGGACAATCATCAAAATCTCTTGTTTTGTTTACCTCAATAGCTTTGGTTGATTTATTTGTGGTTCCGAGGGGGGGTGTATTTTGAGAAGGTGGCTGTATCTGTGTTCTGTCAGCCCTGGAAGGGGAGAAGTTTTGTTCTTGAAAAGGACAACGTTGAGGTGTTTCCCAAAAATGTGATGGTGAAATAGCTGTTAATGTTCTTTTGATATGCAGCACAGCTAAAAATGCTTTGTTCCCATTTTTCATGTGATTTATTTGCATTCCTGTGATTTATTTTGGTCTGAAGGACCCCAAATTACTTGTGTGCTCACAGATCAAGATGTGATCTGAGGCAGAGCATGAGGAACTTCAGGAGGGCAGGGCTGGATGCTGAGACAGGATCAGGATGGCCCCGTTCCCAGTAAGGCTGGTGAAACTTCTCTTTACAGGTCTGCTTCCCAAGCTACCATTAAAACTCAGGTGATGACTTTGTAATTTTGCTTAGAGATCCTTCAGTGGAAAAATGCAGAAATAGTGCTAACAGTTATTTATTAAGTACAAAAAGGAATAAGGTGCTTGCAGGGCACTGCTGCGGGTTTGCCCGGCTGATGTTACCACTGCATTTGGAGGAATTATATCGGAGTATCATCTACCAGCATCATATGAACAAAATCTCATCATGTGAATGCAAAAGTTTGCTTAGTAAGCAGGTAAATTAACAAAACCCACCCAAACAGTCTTACCAAGTTTGATGTGTCATTAGTTCTTTCTCAAAGTGTGGATACTCCTATAATATCCGTGTATCCTTGCCCTTGCTCCAGTCGTTCTGAGCACAAACATTATTCTCAGCAGCAGCAGTTGTATCTCATGAGGCCAGCGCTGTAATTAATGAGATTTGAGGCACAAGTACTGAGACAAAATTTATGTTTCCAGTATCCAGAAATGAAGATCCAATCTATGGTGAAAATGGGGATAAGGGGTGGCAGTACTTTAAAGCTTCTCAAACCGACATTGGAAAGGAATTCACAATGTATTTTTAGAGCATTATAAAAATCTCTTACATAATGCTGATTAATTCTTAGGTTTTAGGGAAGAGCGCTAGGCTTTGTGTATAAAAGTGTTGACCAGCTAAGCCACTGAAAGGGGCTGGTTTGGGCCGGATTTTTTTTTCCCCCTTTAACTTTTTCTTGGTTACAGAAAGCTGCAATTATTCAGTTATTACAGGATTTTGCTTTTGTTTGGGTGTGTATGAATATTTTTCTGGAAACTGCATGTTATTCTTGGAAGTCTTTATCATTTTAAAGCATATGTTATGTTATCACCCTGTCTGAGATATAGGATAGCTACAAACTGGGTGGGGTTTTTTTCCCCCTCTGTCTTGCTGTAGCTAGTTACGTTATGGATTAACGTTAAGGATATCTGCAGTGAAACATTACTTGTGTGGCTGTGTAGGACTCACTTAAACAATGCCACTTATATTACAGAATCATTATTTTCCTGGTGCAGTAATACATACAATTACTTTATATTTCTGCCCATTCTGTTCCTTTTCAAAATTATTGATTAATCTAACTGGCAGGTTTCACACAGCTCCTAACAAAGGGCTATTCAGGAAATAAAGTCAGTAAATGGTACTCCCTTATTTTAATTGTGGTTATCTATACTTATCGTTGTGTAGCTGGGAAGATTTTTTGGACAAGATATCATGGAAAAGGGATGCTTTTCTTTAGTCTTTTTCAACAGACATGTGACCGAGGCAGCTTTGAAGCCTTTCTGAAAAATCCTCCTTCCTTCTGTAGAATGTTTAATCTTCCTGTGGAGTGTCGAACTATGAGACTCACTCTGCAGAATTCCATTCTTGTGCCATACAGATGAGTAAGAACTGCTCAGGTAAGTGAGGTGAGTCCTTAATTGTTACTGCAGAATGAAGGTAGGAGGAATGTGTGGGTCCAAACAAAATCTTTATTTGCCCCTCTTTTCTACTCAGGAGGAAATGAAAATACTTATAGCTCAGGGGTAGGGAGGGATGATCCTTATGGGTCCCTTCCAGATATTCTGTGATTCTGGGTCTCAAAGAAAGGCTTACTAATAACCCAGTAGCTCATTTCGCTTTCTTTTTCCAGCGAAACCCACAATTTTCTTCTGTCTTTGGAGAAGGAGCAAAGATGCTTTTACAGCCTCCTGTTACACAGTTCATCCACGAAGAGGCCACACAAATATGACCAGCTTAGAAAAAAAACTTGGTGAGAATAAACCTTTATTGCTCTCACTGGCTGTGATAGGTTTGATCACACATGTGAGTGCTCAGGCTCCCAGTTTGCAAACATGTGCAATTCAGAATAGGGGAAATGATCTGTAAAGGGCACACAGTCTGAACCCTACAGTGGAAAAAAACACGTTTGTGTGTACTGGTTTCCTCCACAATTGCTGTCACAACTTCGTTCTCTGGTGTTTCATGTGGTTTCAGCTCTCCCTAATGCTGTTTCCAGTGGAGGGGCTCTCACACACGGACGCTCACGTGTGTGTCTTTGGGGCTCACTAAGACAAATCATGTTGTCTCTTATGAAGAAAAGTTCAGAAACAGTCTCCTTCCTCTCTCCAATCACAGATTTTTACTTCTAGAACTGGAATTGATACTCTTTTTTTTGTGATGTTTAATTAATAATTGGGTTTAAATTGTTTCTGACATATACATAAACACACGTGGCATGTGAGGTCATTGTT